GGAGGATTCACTGGGCCGGTTCTTGCTAGTTGGGCCTTCTGTGTTACTCATTCCCTGAGCTTGGTGGTCTTCTATGCAGCTTTCCCGTGGGATCTGCTCTGACAGTAGAGGTGTCCAGGAGAGCTATGGCTGGAACGAGTTGGTGGCCTTTCTGCTGTGGAGCTGAGCCATTTCTGTGTGGGAGGGTGTTGGGTGTGGCTGCAGGCTGCTGGGCCTTCAGGCAGAAAAGGGAATTGGCCTGTCCTATAATGAGAAGACCCCAAGTTTTCAGCCTAGATGGGTCTACCTGGGAACAGCATCATGTTCCTTTGGAGATCAGTTGTGGACCCGGGCCCAGTCTCTGCCGGAAAGATGGTGCACAGTATGTCTGTAGCTGAAATTCCTGTTCGCTTCCTTGCCCACAACAAGGGACAGACTTTCTTCCCAGGGTTCTCTATGGCTACCTCATAGAAGAGCCAAATGTTAGTGATCCCTTTTTGTACACCCGTTTCAGGCTAACTCTAGTTTTCAAGATTCTTTGTTCAGTGCAAAAATATGAAATAGAATTGGAGAATAAAACCTTGTTTACCAAAGAATAGAATTATTGGATCTTGGCTTTTGCTGATCCTTTGAGAGTTCATTTAAATATTTCCTATTGAGTTATACTTTATCTTTTAAAGCCTGCTCGGTATAGAAATTAGGTGTTCACATAACTAGATGCAATGGTTAAGGACTATCAAATAAGAACCAAGTACTACATTTAGGCTACCAAAGCATTTAGAGTGGGAATGTACATATTTCTGTTTTATATTTTCTTCATATTATGTTAAAAATGTATTTCATTTTATTTATGAATTAAGCCTGGTAGCATTCTTATTAAAAATTGATGGAAATATAAATTAAGAATAGAAAGTTGGCGGCTGAAGAGCTAAAACAGTGGAAGTACAGGGTTCTTGCCTTGTACATGTTCCAACCTGGGTTCGATCTCTGGCAGCCCATATTGTCCCCTGACCCCTGCCAGGAGTGATCCCTGAGCACAGTGCGAACGCACTCCAGCCTGGAGAGCTATTTTTCAGGCTCGAGAATAGAAATATATGCTTCCCAAAGCAAGCAGGAATGCAACAAAGTCTCCAAAGCAATATATTTTGTAGGTCACAGTATATCCTGATGTCTCCTAAGGAAATCCTTTGTTTCTTAATAAATTAAAAATCCAGCGTTCTAAGCCTTGTACAAATTAGAAACTCTTCTGTGGTTGTGGTTAGCAGGGCCAAATATGAACTCAGGATTTGCCCTCACCTCCTTAGCTGCCCTGCGCATCACACAGTCAGACTGACAACAGTACAAATAAAGTTTCCTGGGATCAGGGACTTAGTGCAGACAGTACCATGGAGTCAGTCCATACACTAGAAATAGAACTGCTTCCTGGGGTCCTGCAGTGATGCCCCAAGAAGGCTGAGACCTGCTGTGTTCCCACAGTCTGGCCCTGGGCTTCCTCTTCCTGGGAAAACTCTAACCTCGACTGTTGGGAATTCTCTCCAGTCAGCCAACATCCGCAGCGGCAAATCAAGAAACTGCATCCAGCAATCTACTCTTTGGATTTTTATGTAATAAAATTTTTTATGAAATAATATCCTCCTCTGCCAAGCATTGCATTAGACACTTTAAATGCTCACCTCATTTAAATATCCTCTAAGGTTTGTGTGTTGACCTCATTTTCTAGCAAAGCAACCTAAGATTCAAAAAGGTTTAACACTTTTTTCCCCCAAAGTGGCACAGCTAATTAAGTGATGGGGCTGGGCCCAGACCTTGTTCTTCAGGCTCCTTCATCAAAGCCCCATAGTGCCTTTCAGTTTCACAGTGCTGTCCTTGGAAGGGTTAGATTTCCCCTTATTAAGGAAGGCAAGCCCTCATCTCACTCTCAATAGTGAAGCTTCTTGAGACATCCTGTTCTGAGCTGTGTTAGGGATCAGTCTCTGTCAGTGAGTAGAAGACAGCCAATGTGGGGAAGGCCGGGGCTATGGAAACCGACGGTTGCTCCAGGCTCCTGTGGAAAGTGTTCATCTTCATCTGAAATGGCCAATCTGTTGCATCCCCGCCTTCCTCAGCACTGTTTAAGTTTTAATTATCTTCCAACTGTCTGGGCTGCTGTTGAGGCCCTCCGAGACAACAAAGGCTAGTTGCTCTGTTTTCTGCAGTTCTCCTCTCTGCACGCAGATGAAAGCACTGGCTGCCACTGCCCTTATTATCAGGTTAAATCAAGAGCCTGACTGTGCATTGGAGATGGGATGCTGAAAGGAAAAAAATTAACTGAAGCCCCACCGAAGTCCTACTTAAAGTCTTTCATGACAGAGAACATATGGCATTTCCTCTTTCAGGTGTTATCACCCGGAAGAATTTTTTATTTGAGAGAGAGAGAGACAGAGACAGAGAGAGACAGAGAGAGAGAGCGCTCCTCCCAGCCCGATTGCTCAAGGAGTACTACTCTCTACCTTCTGGGATTTGCCATGTGAGCCCTGATCTCCATACTGGGCCCCACTCCCTGCCCAGCTCCAAGGTTAGGCACGCTATACTGGCCTCTGTGAGCTTCCTGCTTTAGTGGATGGAGTTGGGAGAGATTTATGGAAGCCTATTAGCTATTTCCAATCAAGATCTTTGGTAGAAGAAATAACTTTCCATGCAGTACATCCTCTTGCTGAGGGAAAGGAACGTGGCTTTGTTCTTACGACTTTCTTCCCATTTTTAAAATGTGTCTTTGAATAAGCACTTTATGGTGCTTTATAAATTATGCTGTAATTTCATGGAGACTTAGAAAGTATTGTAGTACTGGAATAATTAAACTTGTTATGAGCATTACATAGAACAGGCTAATCAAGAAGTGTGATATACAGTGGGGAATTGCTAATTTGACCTCAGGATTATGCAGCAGAGATAACATTATCTTCATTTATATAGAACTTTTTATCTGGAGGCATCTCTCTGTGCTTTTCCAACCATATATATTATTTGTTATCACAAACACTATCATTAAGGCCGTAAAATATATTCCTGTATAATTTTTTATTTTCAGTTTCTTATAATTGGGGAACAAGGGAGGGGACGGCTGCCTGTTTTCTCCCGCTTCTGATACTAGCCCAGGTGAAGCTGGGGGAATGCCTGGTGCTATTCGATGTCTTTAAAGGGCAGGAAAGCGGGAGAAGAATATGACTGTGAGCCCGTCGGTAGCTGGGACTCTTCACCCAGTGCCAGTGGGGATGCCTCGATAGCTGACATCCGGCAGTTGTTAGCACTTTGTGCCCTGCCTGGGCCAGTGTTAGGAGTCTGTCCTCTGGCAGAGACTCTGCCTCAAGCGCAGGATAATGATCTGATCAAATTCCATCAGCCCACATTTGCCCCATTCCCTGCAAGGTTGCAGACAGCAGCAGCCCAGCTGTCGTGACCATGTGCGGTCGGAAACGCTGTGCTGGTTGAGTTCCTGTGGGTCTGAGGAAAGGGACAGAATTAGACTCGAGCCGTGGTGCAGGCTCTGCACACCCCTTCCCGTCCAGAGGCCCCAGAGAGCCGCGGCCAGCCGCAGAGGACAGCACAGACCATTAAGAACTGATGTAGATGGCCCTCGAGCAGTCACCCAAACCCAGTGGAATCAGCACCTCGGTCTTCTTCAGGGCTAGAGAAAGCCACACAGTGAGACTTCTGCCTCTCCAGAGGACTCTGAAGACTGCGTCGCCCCGAGTCTGCTCCCGGGAGCAGCACCCTCGCCCAGAGCCACTGTGGGGACAGCCAGTCAGGACATGGCATTTATTTTGGTTGTTGAGATACAGATTATCTCTTGGCCAGGAGGAAATGGCTAAATGAGGTGCACAGGCGTGCTGTGGTCTCAGGCTTGAAGAAACAGGAGGGGAGATAACCCATGATATAAAAACTCCTTGATCTGAAGTTTTAAAATCAGCATTACATGATGCAGTTAACTTAGAGTGATGAGAAACATAAGAAAATGACTGAATTAGTGACTAGCGATTGCCTCAAAAGTAAAATTCTGTCATTGAAGTAGAAGGTGGTTTTACACAATGGAGGGAGGATATGACTAAAACCTTGCCCAGTCTGACGTGTCCTAAGTGAAAGCTGTTCCCTTAGCATGCCTAGGCTCAGCACTCAGAGCTTACAGCTTGGGAGAATGGGATCAGTTATTCTAGTTATTTTTTCCTGGTTGGTCCTCTGAATTCCAGTGACTGTGTGGTGCATTCCTGGGGAATGGACTCTTGTGGAGGGTGAGTTGGTCTGTTCATTAGCCTGCAAACTCTTGGGCCCCCTGGAGAATGGAAGGACCAAGTTGCTCCAAGGTTAGTGCAGAGTCAGAGAGGAAGCCTCCGGGGAGACCCGGGGTGAGCAGGCCAGAAGCTCTGCACTGCCCAGGATGCTGGAGCGGTTCTGTGTGGCCAGCAGAAGACTGAGCACAAGGGTCCCCCAGGTCTCTCCTTCCTGTCAGCTGCTTCCCGCAGCCCAGGGGGCACTGGTGTGCATACGGAGGGGTAACCTCCCAAGTGAGGGGTGAGGAGTGATACAAAAATACGAGAAACTGGGTGGTCTTTGACAGTTCCTGGGGCTTTTCCTTTCAAACAGGAAAGCAATATTGATTTCTCAGGTTTGTCTCCAGTGGATGAAGTCTTTGGTTGAGTTGGAAAGCTTTTGACTTTGCCCGCATCCGTGCTCAGGGTGAGGAGAGAAGCCGTCACGCTCTGGGACAACCCTTCCAGGCACTGAGCCCATCACACCCGCTTTAATTTTTTTTTTTAATGAATGAGTGATATTTAATTTCCCCTTTGATTCTTTGAAAAGTGCATCTCCCTAATTTTGCTCTAAGTCTAGGTTGTTGGAACCAGCCCGAAGGAACAGCGCAGAATCTACAGTCAAGTTCAAATTCTTGTTTTAGCCCATACCCTGGTTTACTGTATGCTTATATCTAATTCTGTTATATTGGGACTGATTATAATGGACGCTCGTTTTCTTTTCTGTTTTGCCCCTAGATATATTCGAATAGTTGGAACTCACAACACAGTTAACAAGATTTTTCACATTGTGGCTTTTGAATGTATGTTTACAAACAGAACTTTCACTCTTGAGAAGGGGCTGATAGGTAAGTATTACAATTACACTTATCTGTGTACACTTAGATATTTTGTTTTCAGATACTGTATTATTTTATCTTAATATATCTGTTAGTTTTGACTAAGTACTCTGGTTGATTTGAATGCTGTGTGATTAAATGATAATAGAAATTGGCTTATATTTTTTATAAGTGGTCAATATCATTTCAGTACTCTTAAAAATATATTGTTCCTATAGTTAAGCATTGAAAGTGCTCTAGAGTCATTCTGATTTGCTATATGGGATACACGTAAGACAATGGTTTTCCTTTATTGAATAGTAGGAAATATCAGGGGAGGATCTGTGTAATATTGATCTAGTGCTCATATTTTTCAAGTCTTTGCAGATATTTTAACCTTTGATTTCCTGTGAAGATAAGAAGAATTTCTTCTTTTCATGAACACATTAGTCCATATTTTCCTTGTTTATTCAAGTGCACTTTAAGAAAATACCTGCATATAATCTCAGTAAGCTCAGAAAAACTACATGATCATTATGACTCTGAAGTAATCTTTTATTTTAAATTTTGGTTGAGTTATTCATTGTTTGTTTAATGTTATGGGGTTTGGGGGGTCTATTTTAGATATATATAGCTGCAGTTATATATAGTTTCGAGATATATATATATATATATATATATATGCAGTTAGATATAGTACAGCCTGTGCTTTGATACTCTCCTCTCACGATCACCTTTACCCATTCAGACTGCTTATTCCTCTTTTTTCCAAGCCTACAAGTTTAAACTCAACTCCTTCAAAAATTGCAACTTGACTTAATAGATCCTTGAATCTGCGCCTTTACTGCAGTTTCTTTTCAGAGAGATCTTGGGTGGGGATAAGATGTTGGTGCCTCAGCTCAGATAGAGAAGGGACCACCAAGTAAAGGTTGCTTGGAGGGCCCCCCCGGAATGGGAGATGCATGCCGAAAGTAGACTGTAGACCAAGCATGATGGCCACTTAATGTCTGTATTGCAAACCACAACACCCAAAAGGAGAGAGAGAGAGAGTCAAAGGGAATGCCCTGCCACAGAGGCAGGGTGGGGAGGGGGTGGTGGTAGTGGAAGGGATTCTAAGAACATTGGTGGTGGAGAATGGGCACTGGTGGAGGGATGGGTACTCGATCATCGTATGACTGAAACTTAAGCACAAAAGTTTGTAAGTCTGTAACTGTATCTCACAGTGATTCATTAAAAAAAAATAATACATTAAAAAAAAAAGACATTGGTGCGTCTGCGCGGCTGTGCTGGGCCTTTGAGCAGGCTGACAGTGGTTCCTGAAAGCAGCCGTAACTAGAGTGGGGAAGAAGAACATAACCAACAGTTGGTCACCAGTTCTTTGAATGCTCATAAGTCTAAGGTTTTCTAATACTTGCTGTGTCCTAAGTGTGATCCTTACGCAAATTTGAAGGAATGGTATTAATAATGTAGCAGGAGTAGAAATGGTTCCAAAGTGTGAACTTTTAGAGTGTAACTAAGATAAATGATTTGGCTTTAACTTTGTTATAGGCATAATTCTAATACTGCATATAAATGTTAATAATTTGTATACTTTTGAGTTATTTGTTGTTTTTGTTTGTTTGTTTGTTTTGCTGTTTGGGTCACACCCGGCAATGCTCAGGGGTTACTCCTGGCTCATGCACTCAGGAATCGCTCCCGGCGGCGCTCGGGGGACCACATGGGATGCCAGGAATCGAACGTGTGTTGGCCATGTTGGCTGCGTGCAAGGCAAACGCCCTACCCTCTGTGCTATTGCTCCAGCCCCAACTTTTGAGTTATTTGAAATTTAACAATGCTGGTATCATCAAGACTTAATTCTGCAGGATATACAGAATTCTGATAACGGATACTGGGAAGATGCTCCTTTTCCCCTGCAGTCCCTGTGCTTTCCAAGACTGCAGGCCTCCCTGTAGACGGGATGGCACGGTAAGGGATGCCCCCGAGACGGTGTCTGGAAGCCATCCAGCCTCATTGCCCAGGTGCTCCAGCATCCTTCTGCTCAAGGCCATGCTCTCTTGACGCTTCAGAGAAGGTGCCAGCCCCTTAAAGCAGCCCCCTGTCCCTAATGAAGGAGCACCACGTTCGTAGACCCTGTGATTCCCCAAGAAACAGGCCTGCTGCATAAGAGGCCGTGACAGAAATGAGATGGAGTGTCAGTGGTAGTCAGGCTCACTGTTGGTCTGCAAGTCTTTGCCAAACGTACTAGTGTACATAATCAGAAGCCGCTGGTCACTCGCTTTGGCCAGGTTTGCACGATGATTGCAAAAGTGCCAGTAGTGTTTTTAGAATCTGGTCAAACTCTTCTCAGATCTTTCTAACGCAGAGCAGTGCAGTGCCTGCCTCTTGTTTATCCCCCAGCTAATGTTCACAGTGATGCAAAGGCGGGTGTGCATGCACCTGGGGGTACCAGGGTCACCAAGGGCGCCCCTCTAACCCTCCTGTAACTTTCACGGCCAAAAGCTCCTGCCTGCCTGCCTGGCAGAAGGGGAGGCAGGGCGAGGCCAGGGCGAGGTGAAAGGGGTGAGACATCAATGGCCTTAGCCGGCCACCCCTGGGGACATCCAAGAAAGCGTGGTCCTCTTGAAGGGCACGGTCTGTGTCGGAACAAGTAGGAGAGAATTATATATGACAGACCCTGACTCCCTCTGAGGTCCCCAACCTTGAGGACTATTGCTACAAACTCCCCATTTCCATGGGGAATAGAGACAGAACCAAAATTACATCATCATGAATAAGTTAGAAGAGCATCAAACCCTTCTTCCCCAGAATTGCTTGTTTCTTGCACAGTTCTTAATTTTGTTTCATGATCCAGGCTACTCTAATTGGAGACCTTGAGGTTATCTGAAAAAAAAAATTGGATGTTTTGTTTTGGGGTTAGGGGCCAACATCATAGCACTGGGGGCTTTCTTGGTTCTGCCTGGGGATCACTCCCAATGGTGCTTGGGGGACCATAGGCAGTGCCCAGAATTGAACTAGGTTGGCTACATGCACGGCAAGCATCTTAGCACCTGTATTATCGCTCTGGCCCTCATATTGTTTTATAAAATAAAATTTTAATGTAATGACTCTCAAGGAAAAATAGCATGAGAAAAAAAGCACTCTTCTCTTCCCAGCAGAATCTTTTCCCGTTTGTGTTGGCAGCATCTCATTTTTTAAGCTTCTTCACTTACAGATTTATGGAGAAGCTTTAACAGCACATGGATTCTTAAATCCATGAGCACCAGCCCACTTCCACCAGACTGACCAGACCAGTACTGCCCCCTGTCCCCCTACCCTCTGCAGTTGAAATGCCCTGGCCCCTTCTCCTGGAGGATCTTGGGCTCCTACTGAGATGTCCTTCCTGGGAGTTAGCCCTGCGGTCAGTCTCTCCTTGTGAGGAGTCATTGTGAGGTGTGGCAGGACATTTAGAATAGATGTGACTGCTCTCTTAAAAACTTTCAACCTCCCGGAAAAAGTGTTTGCTTTGCAGTAGCATGACACTGTGATACTTTTAAGGCATTTGTCTGGTCCTTTCGTAATTTTATGATTACCAGGGTTTTTTTGTTTTTTTTTAACTTAAATTTGTGTTTAAAGTCACTTCTTTGAATATCGTGTTAGTTATTCTGATAAAGGAATACCCAAAACTCAAACATCCAGCCAAAAGAACTGGTTTATCAATTTTGTATCTCTGCTTCTCCCTTTAGGTTATTTAAAAGCCAGTGTTACAATATTGCATATTACACATCTTACCCATAAATTTATCAATATGTATCTCTAAAAGTAAGCCTTCCAGGGTTGGAGCAATAGCACAGTGGGTAGGGCATTTGCCTTGCACACAGCGGACCCGGGTTCAATTCCCAGCATCCCATATGGTCCCCTGAGCACCGCCAGGGGTAATTACTGAGTGCATGAGCAAGGAGTAACCCCTGTGCATCGCAGGGTGTGACCCAAAAAGCAAAAAGAGTAAGCCTTCTTTTCTTCCTTTTTGTAACCATATCACAAAATCATTATAATAACCCCCACATCCGATTTGTTATCTACAAGTTTTAACAAGTATTAAATATTCACTGTTCAAATGTTTCTAATCAAATCATATCTAGAGTGAGTTTGTGTTTTTGAAGGTTGTTTAAATAGGAATGAACATAAGATCTACACTGGTTTAGTAACTGCTGTGACTCTTAAATCTCTGTAAATCTGTCGGCTCCCTTCTATGTACATTTTTCTTTCTTTCTTTCTTTCTTTCTTTCTTTCTTTCTTTCTTTTTTTTTTTTCCGCTTTTTGGGTCATACCCGGCAATGCACAGGGGTTACTCCTGGCTCTGCACTCAGGAGTAGTTACTCCTGGCAGTGCTCAGGGGACCATATGGGATGCTGGGAATCGAACCCAGGTCAGCCGCGTGCAAGGCAAACGCCCTACCCGCTGTGCTATCTCTCCAGCCCCAATGTACCTTTTTCTTTTCTTCCTTTCTCATACAACTTATTTATTAAGAAACTAGCTTTTTTTTCCCCGATAGTGTGTCTGATAGCTCAGATTGTGAAAATTGAATCCCCATGACAACATTTAAAAAGTTTCTCTGTGACCGGAGTGATCGTACAGCGGGTAGGGTGCTTCCCTTATAGGTCGCCAACAAGGCTTGAGTCCTGGCACCCCATGTGGCCTCCCAAACACTACCAGGAGTGATCCCTGAGCTCACAGCCAGGAATAAGCCCTAAGTACCATGAGGTGTGGCCCCAAAATGAAACAAAAAGAAGTTTCTCTGTTGTCCTTTTTCTCCCCAGTGCTAGAGATCCAAACCGGACACATGAGACATATGCTCTATACTCCTTATTACTCTGTAGATAGCAGCTCACCCTATTCATGTTGTAAATATAATGTCATTTTGTAAGGCTGTTGCAGAAATTGAACCCAGGGCTTCACATGTGCAAGGCCAGCACCACTCTCTCCCCAAGCCGGATCTCCATCCCTCGAGTTAGATTTTTCATATAAAAGTGTTTTGTTGGTTCTGGTCTCTG